TTCTCGTTCCCTTGCCTTGAAACTCTATGGACTTTTGCATTGGGGCCTGACTGTGCTTAGAGCTGAACATTTTCGACTATTTAAATGCTCTGCAACAGTCAACACAATTCTGGCAATAGACCTAGAATCGTCAAACGTGCGGATCTGACATGGAGTTTCAAACTGATTGGATTTTTTTCAAGCAGGGTTATTGCTCCGATTTTTCGGTACACTTTCCTTTCCTAAACATTATGCATGTTTTCCGGACGATTTTTTCCTCTCTCGGCTTCAAAGAAACGCCCATAAGTGAGTTGTAGATTCTTCCTCCTCACATGCAGGGACCCGCTGCAGGTTCATGATTTAGATGACTATCTGATCCCGCCATGAGTGACAGATGTGTCTATGAGTAACTTAGATCTACTACGGTCAAAATAAAGAGCATTCTTAAGGATGCGATTTCGAAGCGTTTTGCTTTCTGAATTATCGCTCTGTCTAGCATTCTTTCAACTAATCTGACTGGCTCAGTGTTATAATACTTTAAGGTCATAATTTTAAAGCTAATCCGTTAGGCTAGAAAAAATGCACCTTAACAAATATAGTCTTATTTCGAACTATCAAGGAGCAATGAGGGGCATAGGCTTGATTTTGGAAGTATCATTGAAGATTTTTGGCAGAAACGGCTCCTTTCATTTTGATCTGTTTATAAATTTACAAATGACGTAAGAGTAGATAGGTTTGCATAAAATTAAATATCTAATACAGAGACAGTTCGCATTTTTGAAAACGTGAAGTATCGTGCCAGAAATGACAATAAAGAATGTTGAGATATGTCGAAAGCCGCAGCGCGTGTGGCGGGTGGACATCACAGCAATTAGTTCAGAGTGAAGGGAATCGGAACATTATTCAGAATTCGATCAGTGACCTGCTCAACCATTGAGAAATACTGTCATATTAACACAACAGCTAAAATGACATTAGAAACACCAGCAGCAGAAGATAACATTGGAGGACTCCGTTTAGGATTAAAATATCTTATTTAAGCAAGACAGGGCAAATTGCCGGAGAACAATAAGGAAAAAGTGGAGGAATACAGGCATCTATACATCCCCATATTAAAGCTTGGGACATAGGATTTGAAGGCAAAAGACAGATGTAGTAAACGAATTTGCGTAAGAAAGATTTCAATACGAGGAGGAAGTGAGAGATATGAGGACAAAGCAACACCAAGGTAAGAGGAAGAGGGCCCCTCGTTGGGAAGAATGTCAAAAGATTCAGAAAGAGGAGAGGGTCGCAGTCAAAACATACACCGGACCGATTACTGATTTTGCAGTAGGAGACCGTTTTCCAGCGACCATGCAGAGACGTGAATAAAACCATCTTTCAAAAATTGGCGATAAGTCTGATTTTTGAGAGGCGGATCAACAACCATATGGTCCGCATACATAACGGACAGACAGTCATTTGTCGATATCAGGTCATCAGTGGGAAGGGAAAAGAAACGAGGAGAGAATATATAACCTTGAAGGACTCCGCGGTTATTAGAATGCCAGTAGATTTCCGCCTGCCAGACCGGAAAACTTAAGAACGGGAATTAAAATAATCTCTAAACCAAAAAACTGCTCAGCCAGGGCAGACGCCACATGCGCCGTTTTTGTAGGAAGGAGATGGTGCGCGAAAGTATAAAGGGCAGAGGAATCGTCGAGAAATGAACATGAGTAAGCGCGACAACCCTTATCTAAATCAATTATAGTAGATTGGACTACAAGAGCAACATCGTCCAGGTCTTCTATGCAAATCGCTAAGAGTCAGAGAATTTGGAGGAGAATAGTATAGCAGAATCTAATGTAATTCCTTCTGGAAGCTTCAGAAGTGCGAAAGAGCAGGCAATTGAATGAGGAGATTAAGGACCAAAACTAGTGAATTTTAGGGAAGAAGAATGATTTTAACTGTGTGTCAAGCGGCAGAAATCTCGGACTCTCTTATTGATATATCAGTAGGGCGTGTCAAAACAGGAGCTATTTGAAAAAAGGGCAAGATTTAAAGAGAAGTGAGGAGACACCATCCGAGTCGGCTGCCTTTGATGACCAGATGCAGAAGACATGGCACTCGGCGATGCCGCTGGAAGGAAGACTGAAGTCCACGGAAATAAAGATAAACTTTTCAACAGTGTTCATATTTAGTAGGCTAACACGGGTCCTACATTTGACGCCCAGGGTTCCATGAAATCATGCGGCAAAGCATTCCCATCCAGAGCACGTCAGCACACTTCCTCCCACAGGTACACAGATCCCACACACACAAACCCATATCGCTTGACAAACGGACAGAGCAAACACTTCTCCGCCGGGTGAAAAGCGTATTCCTGCATGGAGCCGGGTGTCCCACTGGGTTCTGTGTGTGGCATGTAGATGGGCTATGGTCAAACGGTCTGAAAGCGTGTGCTATGTCTGTATCAGAAAACCGTGACCCTCGCAGCCTGGTATGTGCTGGCAGTTCCGTGACACCTGGTTCCCTGCCGGTAGATGCGCATGCGATCCCTCTGGGTTACAGGTGGCGAACATGACTGCCCAGTCCTCATGCTCGTCCTTCTGACTGCTGTTGGGGTGGTGTTGTTCGTCAAGTGTATGTTGTGGACCAGGGGGTGTCGTGACATGCCTAAGTGCCGGTCCGGCCGTGACAGCCAGCTGCACCTTCCCACACATCTGTTCTTACAGTGGGGAGTGAGGAGAGCGAGTTTAGTAGATGCTACGCAAGTTCACCATCACTATAAACTAATTCACGCGCACGTAACCGTGCCTGCTGCACCTTGCTGTGTTGCACACGGTGGACATCGTCGGAATCGACGGTCGACCTTCGAGACGGGCTATCGCAGCCGCTGCCAGCCACTGCCCTCGACCCCATCACAAGCCAGTGGACCGTCGCGGACAGTCGATTGGTGCATGGACAAGCAAAGAAAATGCGAGGCCGGCACCAGGGAGCCAATTTTAACAGCAAACAATTTTGAATTTTTTGCGACACGTTTAAAGTCACGGTTAAGTGGTCCTCGTTTTCCGCACTGTGGGTCAGACTCATTTGGCTCGTTCTGCATGTGGCCTTTACCGCGCCTTCATTCACAGGAGACCGCAGTTGTCTCTTTTGTGGAAATTTGATAAACTCTACGCAAACCTGGTGTTGTTTGATACACGCAGGCGTCCTGTTCACACGTGTCGGCCACTGTCTCTGAGCCTGTCTCCAGTCGTCCTGATTGGACTTTTTCGTGTGACCAGGCCGGTGAGGAAGGAGAGGGTGTGGCCCATATAAATTATTTTGAGCGCAAGTTACTGTCTGCACCCCCCGACTACTCCGTGGGACACACGATGGAATTACCGCTCGGGATGATCGAACCGTATCTCTCCATCTGAGAGCTTGCTCTAGACTTCTTGACTTTTACCTCAGTAGTTCTCTTTCTGTCTTCCTGTCACTGGGTTTACATACCGGACGACTGAAAACTGAAAATCCGTATCAAACCTATCACCTTCCATTATTCATCTTCTTTTTATAGGCTGCTCCGCTAAAGTATTTCCCTCTAAATTATCCCGATATACACCTCGTTGCCGTTCGAAACGTCCTCACTAATACTGCACGTGTCATGCGATAAACTCCTAGCCACTCAAACTCGGGCACTAAGTAAAACGGAGAAACCGGATTATCCCAGGATGTTTATCGACAACCCCCGATATATTTCGCAGTCATGTCACCTCTACCTGTTTTCAAAAAAGCGCACCTAAATTCCCCTGGCTCGTCCCACTCTTACTGATGCATCCGGATACGTATTTTTGCATCACGCTGTAGTACTTAGAGTATAGCCTATTAAAACTTTTTAATACCTGCAACGATCTTATAATAGTAGTGTGTGAATGAATAGCACATGTGGGAAAACCGAGCGTTTGCAGCGGATCATAAGATGCCTGTCAGCGCTGATGTGTCATCGCTATGTGATTCCTGTGCCAGGACTAATCTAGCAGATAAAGGAAAATGCTAGTTAGCAGGCTAAATCGAAGACTCACATCCGTGATAATTGCGGTAACCGGTATGGTCGCCCTTAACAAGAGACTAAGTATAAAGGATACCAGCAACATTAGTAGTCACTAGAGGTCGAATCCATGCTAATATGTCGTACGTCTAACATAGCGATGATAGTCACCCCCACTCGCTCTATTGTCCCATAATTTGATATTGTCACAACCAATTTCTTGCCAGTGCGATTTGTTGTTTGGATGTCTGATATTGGGTTTGGTTAGTTTACCAACTCGCAACGGACTACTGCTTTAAGAGAAGTTTTAAAATGAACCTGATCTGCACAGTATTTATGAATTTAGATTGCTTTTAAGGACAAAATCACGTTTTTTGGGGTATGATGAAGTCTGCATGGCATTCACAAACTGACTAAAAGTCAATTATTTTCAGCCGTTTGCAACATTTATTCCCGCTTATGTCTAAGATGCCTGTAATAATAAGTGCTTTTGAGAATGTTTTTAAGAGGGTCTACCCTTCTCTCCCAGTTGCTCCAACGAACGTATTGAAATGTAGCATGGTCGACTGCCTATAGGAGAAAGGTTATGATTTTATTTATAGGTAAATCTTATGCTAAATTATCAATATCTGCTATTATAAGTTTGAAGATTTTCTAAAGAAAGTCACACTTGCGGGAAGGCAAAGAAGCTGTGTTTTTGTTGCTGCAGATACGGCGTGTAGGGAAGACGAACCCTTAAATATTACATGGAATCGATTTTCAAGGATAAGTCTTACTCAGTTGCGCAGAATATGCCTCCCCTAGGGAGTGACTTCAGGTCCTTTGGTTTATTATTCTTTCGAAGGATAAGAATGTAAGAATGCAAAAATCGGACTATAGATAGGTGCTCAATAGCAGGCTAAATGAAAATGCAAAAGGTACTTTACGACGATTCAGTGTATTACGGCGAAGTAATGAAACATATTATGCAGCCGTATTTTGTAAAAGGGTTGGGGCTTGAAGTTGCAACTTAGGGCAGATAGTCATCCAATTCATCGGCACTCGTAGTTGCAGTCGGGCAGATCCCAAATGTCTGCAGAAGAAAAAAAATGAGTTTTGTCTGTTTTCCTTCGGCGCAGAATAGAAAAGCATACCCGCTGTCTTTCATCAATCGTACTCTATCATTTTACACGAGCGTCTAGTCTTTATAAGGACTAATAGACATGAAAGAAGAAAGTGGTAGATTGGCATTTAAAAGGCTCAGTCAAAATATTTATTAAAGATAACGTCCATTATATTTTTTTCAACTGCTTAAATATTTGAGGATGTTTCTACTGTCAGTTACTGAGGCATACTAGTTGTGGAGCTAAGTGAGTGAGCATTTTAATCCTTCCCGTAAAAAAGTTACGCTTCTAAAATATGTTCTAAATATACAGTTTGGTTTTGTAACTGTTATATGTCTGACGAATCCCTCTTTATTGCATTTATACAATCTTCCAACATCATGTGCCTTAGCTTCAACTGTCCATTAACGAATTAGAAATCACAGCCTAAGCGTCCAAAAAATTAAAGACCTAATAATTTGAAACGAAAGCCTGGACGTGTAGATGACTAAAAATAAATAGTATGCACATATAAAGACAAAGTTATGCCTAATTATTCGGTTTTATTAAAATAATTGGGAGGTATTTTTGACATTTCCGAGGGTCTGCTGGCCACATTCAGTCTGAGTTTAAGCAACGCCTATGTGCTCTACTAGATCAAATGTTGCAGGGAAGTGAGTTCAGACCTGTTAGGTTTGAAAGAGCCTTTTACACATAAAATCCTATTTCAAGAGACTATTTACTCACCTTTATCTGAGCAATAGTCGATTCAGGCACAGCAACACATGCCGAAGATCTTCGAAGTCGGAAGAAGTGAAGACCCCTCTTTGCATAGGCCTCGCTTTTTTCAGGAGCTGAAATTATGCAGATAGTGTTGTCTTTTTAAAAATGCTATCGCTTAAGTTATCTGCTGTAATTTTTTTCTACAATGTTAATTTACTAGTAAGTTTGTCAATGTATAAATCTGTGGAAAAAAGCTTTCAAACCTGCTTCAGAAAACTCCGAAATAATCAAGGCAGCAAAAAGAAGAAGAATTGATACGAGCTGCATGTTAGGGCAAAATCCAGATATTTTTTCTGGTTCCTCAGTTTTCGTCCTTGTGGTGCTAGTGAGAGACGCTTTTATATATATATATTTCATAAGGGTCTGCCTTTGACGTTCTCAGGCGATTATGATTGGCCCGTCGAAGTGTAGTTCGTCCACCAGCCCTTGGCAAGCACGGCTCGGCGTTTGATTTAGTTTCTTAACGAGTGATTTTGGTTGGCCAAATTAAATCTTTTGTTAAAGTAGCAGAGTTAATTACAAGGACACTGTAGTGCAGAAATAGTCAGTAAGCAGGACAAAATTGCGTTTAGGGCATTGGTGGCTACCATCAGTGCGTAAATATAATTGTTTTAATTTTAAATCTTCAGGAACACATTAGTAAAGGCATCCTGGATCACTCTAGATCTCAATGAACCTGGTATAAAGCAAAGCTTAGCCGGATATCTGTCAGTTCACTTAGTATGAAAAACGAATATTATTGACGTATTTCTGGGGAAATTTCGCAGTCGCCTGATAAAAACGAGCTCATTTTTAACCTATTTAGTTTAAAACAACAAACACATACCACTTTTTGAATGTCTTCAAGAGGTCTTCAAAATACGCGATACACCTTTGCGTTCAGTCTTTTAAACAACAACGTAGGCCTTATAACCGTCTTGACGTTCAACATTGCCATAGTTGAAACGGGCAAAGTTTTATGCCTTTAGGGCTGCATTAAAAAATTCCACGAAAAGTAACAATCGAAAGTACACTAGTGTGCGTCCTAAAAATTGCCTTGAACACAAACCTTAGAACTAGCCTCTATTCCTTCTCCAGATAAACCATTTAAATGATACATAAATGCCAAACATGAGATTATAATGATCTTAACTAACCGATCACTTTGGAAATACCTAGCGATCTCTCAGGGATTCCAATGCACGACAGTAAGGGCGGGACTTCAGTTCAACCGGGGTTCTAAGCACCTGAGTTATATCATCCGCCCAACTTGCCGCAGTGTTTGCAGCCAAGCCACTTCTAATACTACAGTAGGTCGACTGAACAAACAAGTTTTTCTAGGCGTATAGTGAGCCGTTTGGAGTAGAGACATGACCTTACTGTCGCACGATTGGATCCCGCCAATTTCCTCTAGTTTTTCACGAGCACGTCAGTCGGGTTATTCAAAGCTGCCAAAGCGTGCCTTATGCAAAGAATATTTTTTCCCGCAGTTTCTCGCGAATATGACCTCAGTTATACCCGTGCTGACGGTGAATGCACAAAACACTAACCACTTGGATGGTGCTTTTTTCCCTCACGTAATCTGAATAAATGTTTCGGACCATGCTCAGACAGAAATCGGTAAACTGTTACTTACAAATGAGTCCGCAATTAGGCTTCATGTGTTTTACTAGACAAAATCTTTGTTGGACCATTTGTTCAATATTCTTAGGTGTTCACCTAATATCTCTACTATCCGCCGTCCGGATAAATTGTCTGAGTTAGATCTGGAGCATAAGCATTCGGGACAGTCGTCCATTTACCATTTCATGCCTAGGGACTAGAATCCCCCGGACTCTATGCTCAAATCTACTGACCACTCTAAAAACTTCATTCAGCTAGGAGCAAACGAGGACCTCCCCTCGACCCCCGCCTAGCAGGAAAAGAAGGCGAATGTTTCAAAGAAATGCATGCACTTTTCTTAAAAAAAAACTGCTCTTCCTATTGCGTGCTCGTAGTTCCTATCAATAATGTATACTACCGTAAGGTGCGTTATCTCCAGCGGGCTACGTTGAATCTCAAACTTTTTGTCAGGTAGTAGGTTTCACACGCCTTCTCAGCCCTCCACATGTTCATCCGCCTTTTTTCATTTCAGCTCACTTTCTCGCTCTCCCTGCTCCCATTTTTCTGACGTAAAATATTTGTGGCAGAATGCAGGGGAGCTTTCCGGCCGGTTGGCCCGTGTTTCGCTCGCCACCACGACAAATCGCTGAGGGGCCTGTCCTCCAGAGTTGGCGTGCACCTCTAAATTACCAAAAAAAGATGAAAAAATTGAAAGGCATCCCCCTCCCTCTCCCCCACAGAGGCAGAGGAGCCTTCAAACAACTGACCGGGGGGTTCAGTTTGCGTGAACCACTCCCCAATCCCCGGTGGTTAAAAGGACGACTGGAGACTGCTGTTAGGTCCCATATGTGGACTGTTAAGTCCTCAGCTAGGCAATCGCGGAGGGGGGGGGTACGGTGGGTTGACGGTAATGAGAGGTTATTACGCCAACGCCGCCAGTAGGCAGGAAGTGAACGAACAGATTTACTAGTTGCCTTGTTTAATTTCCGAGGAAATTAATGCGCGAACTTGGAGTAAATCTTTCGAAACGGGCCTTTTCAGGCACAGTCCAAAGTTTGATATGAATATTTGAACTGAAATCCATCAGCTACTACGGAATAACCGCTTAATATTCACAAACCGCCAACAGGCAGCCAGTAGTATAGAACTGTGCAATGGTTTACCGTATTAACAACACAGGTATTAGCTAAAAGCCCACACACGCGTGTCTCACCGATCTTATGCCACTGCCTGACGCAGCAGCGAGGGGTGCGGCTCGTCAGTGGGTCCCCCCGTTTGTCTTCTGGTGTATGAACTCCAGGATTACCAGTGCCATTAAATATCTACAAAACATTTGACTGCAGTTACCGACTGCTCTTTCGAGTTGTATCGTGTACCTCAGTGAAGCAGTGGATGCCATCACATCGGTTGGTTTACGAGAACTTGCACATTTGTGTGCAGGGATCTTTGCAGAACTGTCGATGAATTGATCACCAGGGACACCTACCTTGTGTACAAATGGGACCCCAAATAATCATATGAAGTAGGTGCGCTATCTCAAGAAATGCTAATCCAGTAAATAAGGTTGTAATATTAAGTATCATGCAGCATAATTATAAAATAATTCAGTCGCACCAGGATACTGGCTTTCGAATGAACCTTTTCCCGACAGTCTGCAGAAAGCGCTCTCCGTAAAAAATGACTACTTGTGTGGTAGGAATTCCCCAAAGGTTTTCGTCGTTTTTATAAATTTAAAAATATTTTCACTTTGACTCAAATGTGAAAAATTGGTGCCTCGGTGGCATTCGAAGCAACGACAACAAGGGGAAGGCTTTAGTACAGTCAACGATCTAACCACCTGAGCTACGAGGCCCCACCGGACGACGCGAGTTTAGTCACATTTGGGTCCAGTTACCCGCCCAGCGGACTGCAACGTCTGGAGTCCACCAATTCTAATACCGTAAGCTGACGGCCAAAGCGGTATTTCCTAAAGAACACATCTAAAATTACGAGTTTTTTACAGTTGGGTCAAGGCGAATTATTTGGAATCTGCTAAAACACCCCTAAATATATTTCATATAAAAAATGCGCAAAGGTATTCTTTCCTATACCATTTTGGTAACAAATTGCGCTTTCTTTAAAGTTTTCCCTTGCAGGTGGGATGTCTTTTGTTTTGAAAAAGTGTCTAGCTATGAGAATTTTTAAGGCCGCTACATGCCCATTCATATACATCAATACGTTTATTAATGTTAGTTCTAAAGTATATAACCAAGTCCACATCCATTGCACAACTTTATGAATCTTGCTCGGAGATCTCCGAAGAGCCCAGAAGAACGGGTGATATTCCTTTGATGAAATCTATGCTGCAAGCGGTTTCGAAACCCCATATGCAAAAAACCGCAGGTCGGCTAAAAAATTATTCGGGAATTTAAAACATACTTAAAAGTCGAAAGATACTCTTTTTTGAGGCATAAATTTGAAAAAGACGTGACTTTCTACTAAATAAGCTGGAGAGCGAATGCTTTTTGCGCGTTTCCTTCTAAAATGCGTTTGAATTTATAAGGAGGTTTTGAATAAATGAAAAAAATTCCTCAGATTTAAGCAGTCCATTTTTGCGGCCTATGAATGTTGTAGACGGCCGAAAATAGGCTCATTAAAAGGCACGCATTCTGGCTCGACTGAAATATTTTAGGAGTAGGTTGCGAAATAATGAATATAGCAACTCTACTCAAGTAGCATGCTCGAGTCGAATATACATTTCAGGGTTTTGGTTAATATTACATGAGATAAAAAAGCTACTGGATTACCATGCCCTGACCCTAACCCGTACAGTAACACTGACACAAGACTTAACCCTGCCCTAACTCCGATCCCAATCCCAACTTAAACATAATATCCTTGAAATCTGGACAAAAGTCTAGGTGCATTACCGAGGGGATCTTATTCACTTGTCCTTCAGAAATGGAGACATAGCCGGGTAGATAGGGATAAAATAGACAGCCATAAACTCCAGTGACTACTGGCTCACCTTATTTGTCAACTGTCATTTTAAATACATATCGACCCGATTAAACTGATATGAGGTCCCGCTCTGGCTCATCAAAACATAAGATATACGTTGAGCTGCAAATTCGAGAGACTGGTCGTTTTAAGTGGACTTGTACCTTTCAGTTTATTCCACGGTCAATAGTATTGTGACAGCGGTAGTTTCCGTGGAACAACCGTCAGTTATCAAAAAACATCACAATGATCAAAATCAACCAATACATATTTTTACCACCCTTTAGAACCATTTCACATTGCGTAGAAGGCTCTGCATGAATGCATAATTTTTGAAACGATTTCGGGTTTGTTGTAAAATTAAATGACAGAACAATTACATCTGTTGAGGCAAAAACTAAAAAATTCTTTCACCTGTGACGTCTTCGTGCATCTTGCCAATCACTCTGTTCAGCTCCGCCAGTGTACTGTCCGCCATATGTTGGCCAAAAACTGACAATCTCGTGCCTCTTACCAATTACTCTGCGCAGTTCCGCTATTGTAAATACTCTAACTATGCCCCGGTCGGCGGGCAGATTCCCGTCAACGGGTTATTATTTCATCAGTTTTAATCCTCAGGAACGTTTTTTATCCCTGATCAGCATTCTTTTATCAGAACGACTATAATCTGCTTACGCACATATTCTTGGATTACTTTTCACACAGAA